TCGCCAATTGTAACGCGCCTGCTCGACCAGGGGCGGTGTGTAATCTTCGGTTTTTACTTCGCTCAACGCTTCATACCTCGTGCTTCGACCGATCTTCTTCGAAGTTCGGTCCTCGTCTTCGTATGCGGCCCTTGTTATCCGGATTCCCCAGGGGAGGGACGGATAAATCCTTGCGGAAATAATCCGGGGAAGCCGGGGATCGAACCCACTGTGTTTCCTTGGCTAGCACACTGTACGTACTATTAATAGTACATTACTGTTAGTACTAGTAGTAGTCGTACTACTGTTGTGCTACATACCCGTTGTTGCCTCCGAATGCTGGAGATCCAGTGAAACACTACCGGTATTCAAACCATAGCACTTTTGTATCGAAGTGCCGGTATCATCATAGGGACGACTTTGCACTCCAAGGGGCAAACTGCACTTGGGTGCTTGCATTAAATCCGAGCGGAAGTTGGCTGTTGTCGATTGTCGAAAACTCGATAAAAGCATAATAATCCACGCTTACTCTGTGTAGACAGACGTAAAGCAATTTCAAATGTAGTATTATCCATCAGTTTCAGCGTGCATACTATATTCCATATATACACGATGCAACGCTGCGCGTGGTTCTCTGTACTACTGTACATACGAGTATACCTCGGCAAGCTATAAGAAAATTAGATAGATAGATACCGGTACATATATGTATAAAAATATAATCTGTATACACATCCCAATTGTCCCAACGTAAACGCCATCTATTTCAAAGTAAGGACACGAAAAACAATAGTACTACCAAGGTTTGGATGACTCAATCCGACATTCGTCAACTTGCATTGAAGCTGCTTGATGGTTGCCACGCTCACGACGACCTGGTCGACCTTCTCATGCGACGAAGTAGCTTTCCTCCTCGATGCATTGGTGGGGCGCCCATTCACAAGCGACAGCTTTGTCCATATCACATCCAACATCCTTCGCCTCGATGCTATTCCTGTTGCGGGCCCGACAGAAATCACGCCATCCCCTACGGCAAAGTTGCTCGTCGCTACATCACCACCACTGTTTCACTGCCTGCAGCCATGTTGTGGGGATGCTATCCGGTGGCCGAGGGGCTATTGCAGTGCTCACGGGGGCAAAGCCAAGTGTAGCGAGCAGGATTGCACCCGCGACCGACAAACGGGCGGCAAGTGTATCAAGCACGGCGGTGGCCTGCGGTGCAAAGTGCAAAACTGTCCCCGATCTGTTCAAACCCGGGGACTCTGCAAAGCCCACGGAGGCGGCGTCCGGTGCCAGGTGATCGGCTGCTGCAATGGCTCGCAAGGAGGGGGGTTTTGCAGGGGCCACGGTGGGGGCAAGAAGTGTGTCGTTCCTGGATGTGACAAGGGGGTTCAAAAGTGCAACTTGTGTACTGCCCACGGCTCGTCCAAGGCTCTTTCGTACGGCGTACATTGATCGACTCCAATGACTGAACCAACGCAACTCCTTTGGCTACCGATTGGGGTACAGTGTGTAGCCAGTCAGTCACCTACGCGCCGAGTAGCATTCACTGTAGCGCAGCGATCAGACTAAGCCAAGTAGATTGGAAGTACCGCACAGTAGTTGGTCGTGTGTTTGAATTGTTTTAGAATGCCACTTTGATGTGTTGCAATATGTGGCCACATGAATCTTGGTGCAAACTACACAGCATTTTGGACGCCTGGGAATAAATAATCTTGGGATACATCAAACCTCTTTGCATGTTGGTCGCTTATAACATGGTGGCCTTTATTTGGCATGCCGGCAGTGTAATGCCATGTCAGACCAAGAATTTGGCCAGTGAATAGGAAGCAGCAATGCTACATACTGGTAGATTCACTGGACTCGGTTGAGCGGCATCGGTCCTGAATTCCAGAGCGCTAAAGTAGAAACAATAGTACAAGCAGAACGTTGGTACTATGTGTATGGTGTACATATATGCATGCTTAACGACTGGGACAGACTGGCGGTGGTGACGAACTTTGAGGCGCCCATGTGATTGCGTTTTCACAGTAGCACTTGTTGGAAATGCAAAGAATCATTCAACGACACCCACCCCACGCATCCATTGCCTCTGAGTTCAAACATGGCAGCCTCACAATTCCGAGTCGCGCTTGCTATGCTCGGTGTATACTGTACAACATTACCCCCCAGTCGTTGGGCCCACCGAGCCCAAACAAATGCTATCATCAATAATAAATCATCGCCCTCGTTAACAGTAAAATCACCACGAACACAACATACTTTCTCACCGACCCTTTTTGTGCTTGTATTTCTTAGAAACAATATATGAAATTCAGTAGGCATTCATCGTGTTTTCGTCAGTGAATTCGATTGTGCCATTAAAATACCTTGATTCACACTAACTGTAAAAACGGTCCAAGTACGTACTACTGTAGTTTGTACACTGGTACACTGTACAGTGTTTACGCTATGGAGTTTGAACATGGCTACTTTTGTGGCCATGCCAACCATTACGCTACAGTGGGTGGTCAGGCGACCTTACCAAACATTTCAACGGTTCAACCATGCAACGACAACCCACTTTGACTTTGGGCTGACCACAAAGGTCAATGTGACCATGGAGGAATCGCAGGTTGGATTACTTTTCGTCGTCTGTGGTGCAATCTGCCTTCTTGAACTCGCTGGCACAACATTGAGTCATGGTGGCACGCCACTGCCCACGCATTGCATCCTCTGACCTCACATTGCCTTTTGCACACTTCGCCCAACATGGAGCCAGTCCACATGCTCACAAATCTCTTTGACGATATCCTCGACTGGGACGCTGCGTTCCACATCGACGACAACATCAAGCCGTTCGCATTCCCATCCTCATTCGGTTCGTCATCCCATACGATGTACGTCGACACCGAGTTGCCTGGGGACGTCAAGTTGGAGTCCCCCACTTCCTCGTCTCGTCCTGACCAGTCATTCTACCCACATCATCCCCATGTTCAACAGCATCCAAGCTGTACTCGTACCGTCGTCCCGCAGCGCCAGTCCATTCTTCCTCCATCCTACAGCATCGTGTCCTCCACGCAGCACAACTGCGCCTTGGAACATCCATCAACTCTCGTCAGTGCCACGAATGAGCCCTCCAATGTGCTTCTTTGTCTGCCACCTGTCGAGGACGATGTGTGGTGGTTTCACGAGTTTGAAGCGTCGCTTCGAGCTGTGCCCCCCCCATCCCAGCCAGCGGCGACTTCGCCTCACCTCGTCCTCCTTAATGCGGAGCACGCGACATTGCTTGAGCTGCTCTTGTCCCCGACTCCCCCTCCAGCATCAGTCCCCGCCGGCCCCTCGTCGTCCGAGTGCGTCGTGCTTGGCTGCCACAACCTGACGTCCTTTGTACGAGGGCGATGCAAGAAGTCGCATGACGGAAAGCGCCGCTGCAATTTCCACGGGTGTCCGTCGGGGCCCCAGACAGGGGGCTTTTGCATCAAGCACGGGGGGGGGAATCGATGCACGTTTGTCGGATGCAACAAAGCCGTGCAGACGGTGGGCAAGTGCAAGACACACGGCGGAGGGGTGCGCTGTAGTGTCGCCGGGTGCGACCGCAGCTCACAGGGGGACAAGAAGTGCCGCCGCCATGGCGGTGGCAAGCGCTGCGGCGTCGACGGGTGCGGCAAGGGGGTGCAGAAGGACGGGTTTTGCGCCGCCCACCATCCTAAGAAGTCCCACGGCCACCGTCAGCCCCGGCGGCGTCGGGGGGGTCGCCATGTGGACAACAGCAGCAACGATGTGCCGCCCCATCAACCAACATTTCAATGCGACTATAGATAGGCACGAGCCGCGAATTCACCATAACTTGAACAATATGACCTTTGGCTCTCCTATAGGCAGTCCAAGTTGGTATGTACACTCTACAATTTGGGATTTTCTGGAAAAATCGGAGCCAACCAGACAGTTCACGACGAACTACCACATATGGTGTCAGTTTTGATGCAAACTTGGAGAAGTAAGAAAAACATTGCTAAAAGATTTCAGCCCTTAGCCAATCAAATAGGCCAATCTGTTTTCATTTTAGCCAATCAAGCAGATTTCCTGGAATTATTAATACTTTCCACAATCCCCCAAGGAAGGGCAAAGTTGGCACAAATATTATAGGAAATCACTCAAAGGATAGTTAGCGTCGTCGCGACAGAGTCAACGTCCCCACGATATTAATATTCTTGTGTGGATATATAATATTTGCTTCTAATCCGTGAATACCGTGTATGTACTGTAGTAGCCACGCAACTGTGCATATGTATCTCTTGTTATTACTGGTACTGTCTGTCAGACGTGGCGCTGGCTGCTGCTCGGGCCACGGCCAATTCGAAGTGCTTCATCTTGGCCACCGTGTCGTTGGTTCGCACGGCCATGAGCGCCGCTTCATTGACGAGACACGCGAGGGCGGCACCGGACGCGCCTTCGAGCTGCGGATGGCGCGCGAGGGCCGCGAGGCTCACGGACGCGTCCAGTCGGATGCGCTTGGTGTGCACTCTCAAGATAGCCTCCCGACCGGCGGCGTCTGGCAGGCCCACGAACACGTGGCGGTCAAAGCGGCCAGGTCGAAGCAAAGCCGGGTCCAGCACCTACGATCGTCCCCAGACGAAATGAATGGCTGACAATCCACCAAACACACTTGTGTACATGCGGTCGGTTTGTGGCGGCAATCACGAGCACGCCCTCTGTGTGCCCTTCAAAGCCGTCCATTTCAGTAAGCAGCTGGTTCAGCGTTTGTTCGCGCTCGTCGTTCGAGTTCAACCCCCCTCGGGCCTTGGCTACAAGGATAAAGTCGATTATATATATATATATATATATATGGTCTAACAGGACATGGGAGGGTACACGTCAAACATATATATATATATATCTTTGAGACTGACAATGGGAGTCGAGATGTGTTTGGATAACGTTACATCAATGTAATATATATATATTACTAGAATATGATACAAGTCAAATATATACGTATATATATATATAATATATACAGTGTATATATCGCAACCTCAATCGAGATATTAAATTTGGTGTCGAGATGTGTTTGGATAACGTTACATCAATATATAATATATATATCTATGTACTGTATGTTGAAACCTCCATCGTGATTCTACCATGTACTAGAATATGATACGAGTCAAATATATATATATATATATATATCGCAACCTCAATCGAGATATAAAATTTAGTATGCGTCAAATACATATACATTATATATTATATATATATTTGACAGATTCAGCATATATAGACATATATATGGGGCCGACAGTCATACCCAGGGCATCGATTTCATCGATAAAGATGATACATTTTGCATGCTGAGATGCCTGTGTGAACAAATCTCGGACCCGCGACGCCCCGCGCCCCACCAGCATCTCTACAAAGTCGGACGCGGAGCAGAAGAGGAAGGCGACGCCTGCTTCCGCCGCCACCGCGCGGGCTAACAGGGTCTTGCCGGTACCCGACGGGCCACACAAGAGGACGCCCTGCGACATACCAAGCATTAAAGAAACATATTAAAAGAGGACTCGGAATGATGGTCGCTACCTTCCAAGCAGTACAGAAACATATTAAAAGAAGGACTCGGAATGATGTTCGCTACCTTCCAAGCATTAAAGAAACGTATTAAAAGAAGGACTCGGAATGATGGTCGATACCTTCCAAGCATTAAAGAAACTTATTAAAAGAACGACTCGGAATGATGGTCGCTACCTTGGGCATTTTCGCGCCAATCGCGTCGTATCGCGTCGGGTGTTTGAGGAAATCCACGATTTCCTCTACAAGAACAAATGTTGGTACAAGCACAGACCATCATTCTTCGCACCGAGTTCCAACTTGGCGTTGTCGATGCCGGCAATGTCAGCAAACGAGATGCGCTGCTGCGTCGACGACGACTTGAGCTTGCCGCGGGTGATGCCATCTTTCGCGACGCCATCCTTACCGCCGCCACCACCAACCAATCCTTGAAGCATGCGATAGGTCAAGGCCAAATATCTATTTGTCGCAGTGAGGGGGATGGAGGCATGCTGCGATTGTGTGTTCGTACATCAAGGGAATGGCGGTGAGAAGCATGGGCAGCGAACGCTTGAGCCACGAGGGTCGCATCGTGCCAAACTCAACTCCGTGCTTTCGAAGGATGTCCAATATGTACGATTGGTCGGTTAGGGGTGGTACGAGGATTCTAGTGGAGCAGCAAGTATGTGATGAGATACAGGCACGAGCGAATGATAGTACCTGTATGTGACGACACCATTCTGCATGCCTTGCTTGAGCGAGACCTGTGCAATGGAAGAGTGAGAAGTCGAGCAGTCAGTCATCGAGGACATGCATGCATGTACCAGAAAGAAGTCGGACGCGAGCGACACCTGCCGCACGTTGTTTTCCGCGGCATGCCGAAGAAACGTGCTAAAGAGAAGGGTCGGCTGGGGCTTCCATGCTACTGAACGACGCAACAAGCCTGACGATGCAAGGATGCACAGAAGAGCATACGTCTTCCAATTCAGGCGACTCTGCGCGGATGCCCACAGCGTCCGTATCGCGACGAGGAGGTTTACCATGCCCAACGACGGATTGAAATATCGTGTTGATGACGCAAAGCCGTACCCCGGGGCACATAAGTATACACTAATTCACCATTCACCACACTAAATTGTCCTAACAGTAATTTGACCCTCGTTTTTTGTTACTGTAATGTGCGTATTGGTTACTTACAAATCCGCATATATTATGTTACTTTGAAATGTGACAAATCCGCATATTGGTGCGTAATGCCGGCTCTCGAATAACGCACCAAACTTGAATTGGATCTGTCGAAAACAACTGATTTTGGCGAACTTTCAAGCAAATATTAGAGAATATGTGGTGAGGTATTGCATTGTACAGTAATATCGCATGGGGCAGTCACTCAATATGTCGAGTTCTTTGTGTTGCGAACGGGGCACTCACTCGTTACCAGCGCCATCACAAAATCCACTTTGACTACCTACTGTACAATGTACTCCCTAGTAGTACTGTACTGTATGAGTAACACTCTAACTTATAAGATCGATCCCCACATTGGCCAAGCCCAGCAACTACACTCTACGTATACCAGGTGTGTTCAAGAGGGGGGGAAATATCTCCCAATAACGTTACACGTCGAAGGCCTTCAGGTTCCATTTTCAAACCCAAACGCACACAAGGGCAGCAGTTTGGAGTACATACTTTCTTGCGACAACCGAGCACAAGGAGCACACGAAACCACCCCCGGTTGCCTGTCTTGCCCTGACCAGTTACGCTGTGGTTTCGAGGCTGCTGTAAGCGCGACCCTTCCTGGATTGCTAAGTTAGTTGCGTTAGCGTAGAAAGGTCCAATCAATGACGGCTTATGTACTCCTACCTACTGTATGATTCGTCGCACTGCGACCTCGCGTGAGTAAGGACGGTCGTTCTGTGCCGAAGCCACAGCGTTGTAACTGGTAGACAAGTGCTTGTATCAAACGTGACACCCTTGATACAAGAACGCATACAATGGCCAAGTGTCGGTGGATTCAACCTTGGGTGTCAACCTCTACATCCAGTTTCATTTCGATGGTTCAGTGGCGAAGGCGTGTCGGCGGCAGCTTTGTTGTGGTCGCAGCGATGGCAGCACTTGCCTTAGCAGGTCCATCCACGCCCGTTATTGGCCCACAGGTTTTAACCACAAGCATAGCAGTCAACACCACCAACGCCACACAGACGACTCCTACCACCACTACACGCAGCACCACGACCGACACACCAACCACGACGACACTGCTTCCTACGACCGCAGTCCCCAATACAACCACCGTCCAGCCAACAATCACCACTGAACAGCCATCCACGGTCGCCCCAACTACCACACCAATCACCACCGCAACGCTCGCTCCAGTGACCAACACCACAAATTTACCCACGACCACCGTGACAGTCCCACCCACAACTGTGCCCACCACAACGACCAACGCTCCGACACACGTGACAGTCATTGTTCAGATTGCTGCGTCGCCATCGCCGCCAATATCCACCACGGATGGCTCTACCGAATCTGCGGCATCGGCGATGGAGGAATCGCCTTCAGGAGAGCTTTCTGCTCCGGTTGTGGCGTGCATTATCGTCGGCGGTCTCATTCTCGTATGTCTTGCCGTCATTGCAGTCATGAGCTTCCAGCGACTAGTGAGCAAGAAGCGACGGTTGGACAAGCAAGATAACATGGCGATGCGCTCCAACTTTGACGAGTCTCAACTTGACAGCAGCATGCTAGATCATCATTCGACGGCGGACGGGCCGAGCCGGTACTATCCCCCGTACTCCAAGCACCCGCCAAAGTCGCCCGTTCCCGTCCTAAGTTTGCGGCATTACGAGAGCGACACGGCGTCCACAGTCAAGACCGATCTGTCCATCAAAACCGACAGCGATACAAGCTTCCACATGTATGGCCGACCCACGAGCGACAGCATTGACTCGTATCGACCAAGTCCCCATGGCGACGTGTATCGGAATATGACGTCACCGTCATACACGCCTCACACGAGGGCGAGCCATACGTTCTCGGACACGCTGACGGCTAGTCACCGCACCAACGACTTCTCGTTCAGCACTCAATTCTCGCGCGTGAGCAGTATGTCCACGTTTAGGGCGTATTCATCCAACTTGCTCCTACGGAACAGCGACGACTTGTCGGTGTACAGTGATCGATCGGATGGCACCATTTTTTAGTGATAGTCGCTTAGAAGTAAGTATATTCCCCCCAGTAATTTACAGCACATGCCCAGAGGACTGGTGACATAATCCTCACGTTTCTTGCCTCCACAACTTACTTGTTCGGCTTGCCCACCCTCGCCAACATCAACCTCGTCGCTCAACCCATCGCATGTCTCGCTGGATGGCTGGCTTGGTTGTTTACGCGAGCTGAATGAGCCAATTTCCTGCTGTTTATATTGTCGATTTGATAGTACAAATTTGGGGAGAGGGTGCAATCGAATCGCGCCGACCAAACAACCGATCCACAATCGATCTGATTGGTTGTTGAATTTCATTGAAGAGGTTTTGATTGGTTAATAATTTTGAGCTCATCTGAAGTAGCCAATCAAATCGATTTAAATACCAACGCCACAACACAATGAAATTTCACTCGAAAGCACAGCACAAAATACAACTCACAATTCAGGAGTTGATACCCTAATATTGTGAATTACTACGTAGTATTCGCTAGAAACTTCGAATCAATATATCACACTGGAGTTGTTCTGATTGGTTGAATATACTTGTCCTTTCGTCAAGAGCCAATCAAATATACCCACTCAAAAATGGATTAGCCAATACTATTGTTAATTGGGGTAGCGTCGGGTATTTTAATACCCGACGCTATGAATCACTATTAAAATAGTGATTCGTATCGAATCCACAATAAAAAACACAGCATATATTTTGGGATTTGATAGCACTAATCCGGATACTGGTGACTATTTCCGGATATGGTTGCCCGCTTTGCGCGTGTTTGATTGGTGGATGGAACATCGATTCCACTTCTCACCA